ATAAATTTTCTGCCATACATATTTGTAGCAATCAAAATTTTAATCAACTTACATGCGTTATCATCATGCTTTTTGTTTTTGCTAGTTGCTATACTTTGATCCACACGATTGCTCAGGTTTCTAGTCTAGATGAGAAGGTGAACAGGGATTTTGGGAAACATGAGGAGCAGTTTTGCAAAAAATAAACAGCAGAACTTCAGTCCAGGTTTGGACATGTTCCTCATTTATAATTCTCTTTTGAAAGAGCCCACTCAGGATCCAACCCCACATTCCATGAGTGCCTCTAGTTTCCCACCAAATCTGTAGTGGAACCAAATGAATCTTCTCAAGTCATTAAATGTCTACCCATATCCTCTTCCCAACTCAAACAAATGAGCAACTGTGTAATGCTGTTCACTGTCAACCTTGAGGGTGTCACTGACACTGCAGTGTATGCGAAAGTGAAATACAAACTGAATCCTCTATTATTTTATTAGTTTATTTAATTCAAAAGGCAGAGAGATATAGAGACAAAGATATTTCCCATCTGCTGCTTCACTTCCCAAATGCTGGCAACAGCTGGGCTGAGCTAGACGGAAGCTAGGAGCTGTGAACACAATCTAGGTTCCCTGAGTGAGTGGCAGGGACCCAACTGTCACCCACCAGTTCCAAAATTAGCATTAGCAGGAAGTAGAGCCAGGACACAAACCCAAGCCCTCTAATATGGGATTCATGTGTCCCAAGCAACATCGTAACCACTACACCAAATGCTTGGCCCTCTGTTTTCTAACTTTGATTTTTTAAAAAATTTATTTATTTATTTGAAAGTCAGAATCACACAGAGAGAGGAGAGGCAGAGAGAGAGAGAGAGAGAAAGAGGGAGAGAGGTCTTCCATCTGCCGGTTCACTCCCCAGTTGGCCGCAATGACTGGAGCTGCGCCCATCCAAAGCCAGGGGCCAGGAGCTTCTTCTGGGTCTCCCACACAGGTGCAGGGGCCCAAGCACTTGGGCCATCTTCTGTTGCATAGCAGAGAGCTGGATCAGAAGTGGAGCAGCCGGGTCCTGAACCGGTGCCCATATGAGATGCCGGCTCTTCAGGCCAGGGCGTTAACCTGCTGCGCCATAGCGCCAGCCCTAATTTTGATTTTTTTTAAAAGATTCATTTATTTATTTGAAAGGCAGAGCAACAAGAGACAGTGGAAGAAACTCAGAGGAGAAAGATCTTTCATCTGTTGGTTCACTCCCAAATGGTTTTAACAGCCAGGACTGGGTCAGGCCAATGCCAGGTCCCAGAACTCCACTGTGGTCTTCTAAATGGGTTGTAGAGGCCCAAGCACTTGGGCCATCTTCCATTGCCTCACCAGTCCATTAGCAGAAAGCTGGATTGTAGGTTAAGCAGCCGTGACTCAACCTGGTTGGGTTTAAACCAGGCATTCTGACCACCAGGTAAAGCCCTATACAATTTGAAGCTGGAGCTTGAACTGGCCTCATGCTTTGTCTGGAATGGTTCTCTCTGAAATTCTCAGTTATGTTCTAAGAAAAGAATGTTCTTGCATTAAGTAAGTTATTATTTGGACACTCCTGGGGCTATAAGTTAAGCAAGCGCAGAACAGTTTTTATCTATTATGTCTGCACGTGCTGTGGAGTTCATGGAGACTCCCAGAAACCTAGAGAAAAGAAAGAAAACTCTTCTATCTTCTGGTAAGTAAAAAACACAAAGGAAATCATTTACACATTTCCTCTTCTACAAGGGATGTTCCATGCAGTCCTATAGACAATGCACATGCAATGTGGTCAGATCTAAGAAGCCAGGAGAAAAAGGGCAGGCATTCCGGGGTAGAAAAAACCTCTGTCTTCTATACCAAAGATCCTAGCATTCAGAATTACAGGCTGTCACACAGGTATAAAAACCATCTAGTGCAACTTCTTAGCTCACAGACTAGGAAGCTGAGCCATAGAGAAGGAACACGTCTAAGAATACCTGGCTAATTTGGCAAAGCCAGAACAAATGCAAACTACCGTTTTTTCAGTTTAATTCTTTGTTAAGGCATCCTTCTACATTGCCAAACTGGGTTGCTCCAAATTCGCATTGGCCAGAATTGCTTCTATCTGTGCTCACAGCCTGAGATTCTGAGATCCACTTTCTACGGCATGAGCCGTCGCTTGCCGCTCACTCTTCTTCAAGGATTTGGCAATGCAATGGAAAGATCTCAGAATCTCTTCACCTTGGGAAACGGGCCATGTCACAACCCTTTTCCTAAAGTGAGTGAATATCTGAGCTCCAGAGAGACATGGAGTAACTGCGATCCTGTTATTTAAAATTAGAAATGGCCATAGTCCTAGTGTTTCATCTTTAAAGCAGCCAACATGCTTCTCTTCTTGTTTCTTCTTTCATTTTTATATAATACAAAATGTAGGATTTTTTTTTTTTACTGTTGGAGAGATCTTTTACTGACAAAGAGAGTTTTTTAGACAGAAAATATTTGCAGCTCTTTTAAAAAGTTACCAAGATTTTCAGGAGAGCCTACCAGTGTCTCATTGCAGACAACACAGAACAAAGGAGATAAAATGACATACAAAGGAAAGAGTAAGCTTGTACTAGTCTAGTGACGATCTGTTAAATTTCATTCATCAATTGAGGCAATCAATCAATCAATCAATCAATATGTAACCATCAAGTTAATTTATATGGCTCATTACTTGAGTAGCTACTCCTCAAGGCAATAGTAGAGATGGCAAAATGAATATCATTTAAAGAAAATTTTATTCATTTATTTTTATTTATTTGAAAGGGGAAGGGAGGGAGCATGGGAGAGAGAGATACAGATACAGAGACAGAGACAGAGAGAGACAGAGAAAGAATCTTTCATTTGCTGGCTGGTTCACTCCCAAAATGCCTGCAAGATTCTGAGCTGGGTCAGGCCAAAGCCAGGAGCCTGGAACTTAAGATGAATCTCCCACATGAGTGCCAGCATCCCATATGGCTGCCAGTTCGAGTTCCGGCTGCTCCTCTTCCAATCCAGCTCTCTGTTGTGGCCTGGAAAAGCAGTAGAAGATGACACAAGCCTTGGGCCCTTGCACCCATGTGGGAGACCCGGAAGAAGATCCTGCCTGGGTCCTGGCTTTGGATCTGCTCAGCTTCAGCCATTGTGGCTATTTGGGAGTGAACCAGTGGATGGAAGCTCTCTCTCTCCATTTCTCCCTCTCACTGTCTGTAACTCTGCCTCTCAAATAAATAAATAAAATCTTAAAAATAAGATATAAAACATTTTCACCAACCAAAATGTTGTCTCATGTCTGTTTAAGAATAACCTGTAGATATGATGACAGCTTAGTCCCTAAATATTTCAGTCTGTATTTCCTAAAACCAGGAATCCCCTTTTGTGACCACAGGACCACTACTGAAATCAGAAAGTCAACACTGAGACAATGCTGTTATATGATCTGCAGCCCTTATTCAGATTTTGCCAGTTTCCCCACAATATCTCTTACAGCAGTAGAAGTCCTCATTGTGAATTCAGTCATCTCGTCTCCAGTCTCCTGGGGTCGTGGTAACTTAGTGTCTCTTTCTTTCTCATGATGCGGGCACTTTTTTTGAAGAGTACAGGCTAGTTATTCTGTAGACCGTCCCTCGATTAACTCAGGTTTGTGAGATGTTTCCTCATGTCTAGGTGCCGGTTGGGCACTTTGGGCAGGAACATCACAGGAGTGATGCCAAATTCTTCTCACCACCTGGTATCGAGACGCACCTGCTGCTGCTTCTTCCCATTGCTGCAAGGTTACCTTTGATTATTTGGTTCAGGTGTCTGGCAAACTGCCTAAACTGAGAGCCACGATATTAGTCAGAATTCACTTGTAAGCAATCTTCTCTTGAGAGTGAAATCTCAATGGCACAGGATCGACTCATTTGCTAAACTCTTCCTGTTCATGGCAACCTAGTGAAAGGAGAGAACTTTAAAAAAAAAAATGCTTTAGAGCAGGCATCAAGAGTTTCTCTCTCCAAAAGGATTGTGTAGGGTCCACCTGAGGTTCTGAACACTGGCCTGCAACTGTGGCACCTACTGTAGCTGGCAGCGTTTGCAAACATTTACATACCTCAGTCTTTGAAAGTTAAGTCAACTGTGATGATTTTTGTGTACACAGAATGTCAGAAGGGCATATGTATATAAGTAACGGTTTCAACAATTGATGCTAAAAAATATTCTCCACTTTCCCCTGAAACAAAGTTTTCTGATTGAGGTTTTCTAAAATAATGAAACCCCACTCCGTGTTTGACAAATACACTGCTAATAAATATATCACTCTTTATCTTTTTTTAAAAAGATTTATATATTTATTTGAAAGTTAGAGTTACACAGAGAGGAGAGGCAGAGAGAGAGAGAGAGAGAGAGGTCTTCCATCCACTAGTTCACTCCCCAATTGGCCACGATGGCTGGAGCCACGCCCATCCGAAGCCAGGAGCCAGGAGCTTCTTCCTGATCTCCCACATGGGTGCAGGGGCCCAATCACTTGGGCCATCTTCTACTGCTTTCCCAGGCCATAGTAGAGAGCTGGATTGAAAGTGGAGCAGCCAGGACTCGAACTGCCACTGATATGGGATGCTGGCGGTAGCTTTACCCACTACGCCCCAGTGCTTGCCCCTCACTCTTTATCTTAATATTGACTGAGTGCATTTTATTCCATGTTTACCATTTCCACACATGTGATATTATATTAATGGCCTCTTAGGTTTTTACCACAATAACTTATTTTGCCATTTAACCTTCTGGTTTAACTGTTTTTAAATGAACATTCCTAAAAAAAATTTTAAAAAATGAACATTCCTGGCATCAAATTATGTGATAACTAATGGGTGGGGATTATGTTCATTCTCTAAAATCATCTTCTAGTATATTTATTTCTTCTTTAGAAGAAGTGTGGGAAAACGTGCTACACATATACACATATTTCCTAAAGCTAGAGAGATTATGCCTTTTAAAAAAAATAATAAGATGCATAGATCACACAGGAAAAAATAAAAGGCCAGATTCTAAATGCTTACTCATCACTGGGAAAGCTTTTACGTCTTTACATTTACTGAAACAGGAGGCCCTCCAGTTTCAGATGCCTTCACTTTATGTTTTGCTAAATAAGAAATGAAGGCTTGAGAGGATACACATCCCAGCATTAAGCACAAATCAGAGCCTGTAGCTTCCTGCTCATTTACGTGCACCGACAGGCTGGGGGAAGCAGAGGAAAGGATTCTTGTTTTTTTTTGTTTGTTTGTTTGTTTTTTTAAGATTATTTATTTATTTTGGAAGATAGAGAAACAGGGACAGACTGTTACAGAGAGATCTCTTCCATTCTCTGGGTCACTCCCTAAATACCTGTCAGAGTGCGGACTGGACCAGGCTGAAGTCAAGAGTCAATCCAGGGCCAGCGCCGCGGCTCACTTGACTAATCCTCCGCCTGCGGCACCGGCACCCCGGGTTCTAGTCCCGGTCGGGGCGCCGGATTCTGTCCTGGTTGCCCCTCTTCCAGGCCAGCTCTCTGCTGTGGCCTGGGAAGGCAGTGGAGGATGGTCCAGGTGCTTGGGCCCTGAACCCACGACCTGGCTCCTGGCTTCGGATTGGCGCAGCGCGCTGGCCGTAGTGGCCATTTGGGGGGTGAACCAACGGAAGGAAGACTTTTCTCTCTGTCTCTCTCTCTCACTGTCTAACTCTTCCTGTCAATAATAATAATAATAATAAAAGAGTCAATCCAGGTCTCTCATGTGGGTGGCAGGGACAAAGTGCTCGAGCCACCACCTGCTGCCTCTCAGGGTATGCATTAGCAGGAAGCTGGAACCAGGAGCAGAGCTGTGACTTGAACCTAGGCACCATCATATGGGATGAGGGAGTAATAATTGGTGTCTTAACAGCTATGCCAAGTACTCACTCCAGGCCTCCTGTTTTCTATTGCAAATAAGATCTGATGTAGAGAACAGACACACAATAGTTGGTTTAAAGGGTGGGGACACCAAGTAAGCATCCAAGATGCTTGGATCCCACACTGGCCATAAACCATTCTCTGTTGGTCCCCCCCCCCACCCCCTCACACTGACCATACTATTTTATACATCTCTGCTGTTGTTCCCACTAACCTGAGTGCTCTTTCTTATTATTTGTATCTAGGGCACCTAGATAAGTTCCTGAGATATGTCAGGCAGTTAAATGGATAATTTATTGCTTTAGAGGTTGGAGTAATATCATATCTTTTATAGATGGAGAGACTTAAAATAATGCAAGACAATACAACTTCTCACAAAAAGTTGAAAGCAACTGAGTAGGTTAACGAACTTTGAATGCCATCTACTACTTATTTGAAAGAACAGAACTAGAACTTATCTGGTTCTTTTTCCAATGCAGTATTTATAAATAAACTTGATTCTTACAGGACTGGCAAAAAAAAAATTTAGAATGTGAAGTCTGGTCTTCCCCACGTTCTTTACTAAATGTTGACATAGCTGAGGTCCCTGAAAGAACTCATTTTGGGGAGTAACAGCCTTAAAGAGCAGAGTCAATGGCTGGTGACAGATGACCTCTGTCAACCTTCATCTCAAAGTGATATTACTCAGAGAACCAAGTGGCACCCGTTCCTTTTAATGACTATTTTCATTTTAGAACTGAGTGTATAGATGACCCAGAGTTATCTTAATTGCAGATCCTTGTTCCTAATAGTTGCTCCACTTGGAATATGTCTTCTGTTAATTTTTTTCAAGACATATAGACTTAGGAACAAAAATGTTGAATGAATAAGATATGTTTGAAAGAATATGACACATATTATTCTCTAATGTTTAGTTACATACAGTGAAATTCACTGTTTTTGATGCACAATTCTGACTTTTTAGAAGTATAATCATGTAATTACCAACATAATCAAAACACAGATGAGTTTTATCACAGTCACAAATTCCTTTGTGCTACCTCTTTATGATCAAACTTCTCTTCATCCGTCCCTGTTCTCTGAGAACTACTGACCTGTAATTTACTACTCTTTATTTAGAATACCATTTAATAGAATCAAATAGAGTGAAACCTTGTCAAACTGGCTATTTCCATTCAACATAATGCCCTCAAGATACACCCAAGTTGTTACATGTATCAATAACTCTTTGCAATTTGTAAGTAATATTAAATTGTGCCAATGGACCATGGTTCTTTGAGAGACTTTAGGTTGTGTTCCATTTTTGCTAATTATCAATAATGCTGTTGTAAACATTTGCATGTGTTTTTAGGTGAACACAGGTTTTCATTCCACTTGGCTATAAGTGTAGTAATGGGATTACTAGGTTATCTGGTAAGTGTTATATAACTTTATAAGAGCCCATGAGGCAATTCTCCATAGTGACTGTATAAGAATTCCAGTTGCTCTACATTCTTACCTGTACATGGCACTGCCAAGGTTTTGTTCTATTGTTAGCCATTTTAACCAGTACATAGTTGGATTTCATTGTGGTTTAATTAGAATAACCTTATAAAACTACGGAAATGACTGAAAAATCTATACACAGATACACATAAAAGAATATAAATGAATCAAAATGGAACTCTAAAAAATGTCCAAGGAGCCCACAGGAAGACAGAAAAAAAAGAAAACAGAAACAAAAAAGGAAGTACAACATAATGCCAGACATAAGCTCTAACCCACTAACAGATGGTCTAAACGCACCACTTAAAAGACAGAGATTAGCAGATTATATTAAGAAACACGATCCATGAGCAGGCATTATGGCGCAGCAGGTTCAGCTGCCACTTGGGATGTCTGCATCACATGTTCACAGTGCCTGGGATTCAGACTCACCTTTGTTTCCAATCATTTTCTGCAGTGGCACCCAAAAGGTAGCAGATGATGGCCCAAATACTTGAGTTCCCGCCATCCAGGTGGGAGGCCCAGATGCAGTCCCTGGTTCAGACTGGTCCAGTCCTGGCTGTTGTGGGTATTTAGGTAGAAGAATGATTCTCTTTCTTTCTTTCTCTCTCTCCCTGCCGTCCTCCTTCCCTCTCTTTCTCTCTTTCAAATAAATAAATAAACTTCATTTAAAAGACAAAAGGAAAATGACCCACTACATGCTCTTATAAGGAATCTTACTTCAAGCATAATGATGGAAGGAAAGAATGGAAGTAGGCAATTGGCACAGCAGGTTAAGGCGTTACTTGAGACATCTGCATCCCATGTTGGAGTCCTTGGTTTGGGGCCTAGCTCTGCTCTCCTTTCCAGCTAGCAAACTCCTGCTAATCTGCACCCTGGGAGATAGCGGGTAATATCTCAAGCAGTTCAGACCCTGCCACCCATGTGGGAGATCTGGAATGAGTTCTAGGCTCCTAGCTTTGGCCTGGACCAGCACCGACAGTAGCAGGTATTTAGAGATGAACCAGTGGATGGAAAATATCTGCCTCTCTCACTCTCTGTCTAGCTCTGCCTTTCAAATAAATACAATAAAAACTTTAAAAATAAAAAAATTCCCTCAAGTGGATCATGGGCATACATGTAAAACATGAAGCTAGAAAACTCTCTGAATAAAACATAGGACAAAGTCTTCAGGATCTAAGGTCAGGCAAAAAATTCTTAAACACCAAAAGCACAATCCCTCAAAGGAAAGACTGGTAACTTAGATTTTCTAACACTCAAAATTTTCTCTCTGCAAAGGACCCTGAGAAGAGCATGGAAAGACAGGCTACAGAAGGGGAGAAAATGTCTGCAAATCACATTCTTCACAAAGGACTGGTATATAGAATATTCAGAGGCCTTCAAAACTCTGCCATAAAACAAAACAAAACAAAAATCCAGCAAGACGTGGTGATCATGGATGATGGTCGTCTGTAAGCAGAGTTCTGGCCAGTGTTTTGTATATTTTAAAGGTCTATGCAAAAGCTTTGTGATGAATAAAGGAGATCAGGCTTTAAAAAAAAAATCCAGCAAGAGAACAGACAAAAGATATATGCAGACATTTTACAAAAGAAGATACATTGATGGGAAATAAGCTCATGAAAAGACGTTCATCAGCATTAGCTATGGTGAAATGCCAGCACAATGAGATATCACTAAACCCCTATCAGAATGGCTAACCTAAAAATATTGATAACTCGAGATGCCGGTACACAAGCAGTGAAACTTGATCACTCCTCAAGCACTGGCAGAAATGTAATATGATACAGGCCTCTGGAAAACTGTTTGACAATTTGTTTAAAAAATTAAACATGGGGCCAGCATTGTAACATAACCAGTTAAGCCACTGCTTGCAAAGCCTGCATCCATATCAGAGTGCTGGTTTGTGTGTTGGCTGCTCCACTTCCAATTCAGCTTCCTGCTAATGCACCTGGGAAGGCAGAAAGATGGCCCAAGTCCTTGGACCCCTGCCATCCATGTAGGAGACCAGGAGGTAGTTCCTGGCTCCTAGTATCAGCCTGGTCGGGTCCTAGCTGTGGTGCTCATTTGGGGAGTGAACCAGTGGATGGAAGCTAGCCTCTCCCTGTCTCTCCCTGTCTCTTTTGCTCTGCCTTTCAAATAAATAAATAAATCTCTAAAAATTAAAGATGTAACTAACAATCTAGCAAGTGCATTCTTGGGTATTTATTCCAAAGAAATGAATGTTTATGTTTACCCAAAAACTTACACATGAATATTTATAGGAACAAATTTATAGCCCCAAACTGGAAATCACTCAGCTACCCTTCAGTGGGTGAATGGTTAAAGAAACTGTTGTGCATCCGTGCTGTGGTATACCACTCAGCAATAAAAAGGAATGAAATGGTAACACACACAAAGCTTGGATGAATCTCCAAAAGGTTATACTGAGGGAAAGGCAAATCCCAAAGGCTACATATCATATGATTCCATTTATAATAACATTTAGGAAATGACAAAGGAATAGAATGGCAGAAGAGATTAGTGGTCTCCAGAGTGTCTAAAGAAAGGGTCATGGTGGCAGAGACGATGGTGTGGCTATTACAGGACAACACGAGGATCCTTGTGGTGGTCGAGGTGCTGTTCTTGACTGTGTCAACATATCTTCCATGTAACACCGTACTCCAGTTCTGCAAGACGTCACCCTCAGGGAGACTGGAGAAAAGTTACAGGGGAGCTCTCACGTTATTTCTTATGCTAAGTTGGGAGGCCAATAGACAGAGACAGTCACAGGGCCTTGTGTTCCTATAAGTAAACCCCAATCAAATTCAGAGTAGATGGGTGTATCCTAAGAAGTGAACTCAAGCCTAACCATCAGAAACTGCCAGCTAACCCCTAACTAGGGACTTTTAAAGCTACTGTTACACTTTAACCAATCAAATATTCTGTGGTCTTGCTTCCTTAAATTTCTTATACAGGTTTTCCCTTTGCACCCTTGAGGGAGCCCAAATGACTTGCGGTTTGGCACTGCCTGGTTCATGAATCACAGGATGCTCAAATAAACTCGGATTTTAATGTGTCTCGGTTAACTTTTAATATTTAATAACTACCTGTGATTCTACAACTGTCACACAAAAAAAGTTTTATTATAAAATTAATCAATAAAAATGGCAAAATACTAATAAGTATATGAGATCTTCTAAAAGTTCATGGAAAATGCATGGCTTTAAATTTTTTTGCATCAAAATAAACTTATTCTTTAATTATATTTTTTCTTAAAAAGGGCTGGTGTTGTGATGCAGCCAGTTAAGGCACCTCTGGTGATGCAATCATCCCACATCAAAGTGCCAGTTTGAGTCCTGGCTATTCCACTTCTGACCCAGCTCCCTGCTAACCAGAATATGGCCCAAGTGCTTGGGCCCTTGTATCCACATGGGAGATCTTGATGGAATTCTAAGCTTCTGGCTTCAGTCTAACCCAGCTCAGCTGTTGTGAATGTTTGGGGAGTGAACAGGAGGATGGAAGATCAATCTATCTTTCTCTCTGTGCACCCCCCATCACTCTGCCTTTAAAATAAATAAAATAAATCTTAAAAATAATTTCCTAAAAAGCCTCAAGACTCAGGTCAAATGTTTCCTCCACTCAAGGCTACTGTCAAGTAAAAACATTAATTGCTCTTTCTTTGAGTTTCTAGGGAGGTACAATCAGAATGAGAGTGTTTTATGTACAGCTATGCCTTGCTCATTTTTCTTTACATTTCTTTCCCTCACTCTCCTGTATAGTCCAGGGCTTTGCATGCAACTGTTATTCTTATGATGCTGTTATTATTGTATACTTAGCTATGTCTGAGGGCTCTAAATTAGAAAGAAAAGAAAAAAAACACACAATTTGAGTCTTCATTCCATACAGAAAAAAAATGCAAGCCAAACAATTACATGGTATGTTATAGAAATGCAAGGAGCCATAAGGATATTGAAAAGCACCCACAGCGTGCCTTTTCACAAGGCAGTTTCTTTGCCCAAGGGGACAAAATGTGGTTTGTGGAGAGGAGATTGGTTTTGTCCCTTTGAAGCTTGCTTATCTTTCAATCATTTAGAATGCTTGTGGTGTTGAGTAACAGATATTGAACTTAACTGGTTTCTAAATGAGAGACTGGCCTGGTTCACAGACCAGGGAGCTGATAGGTTACAGTCAGGGTTGACCGAGCCCAGAGGCCACTGCACTGGCTTGGCATTCCCCTGGAGGCTGGCTTCACCTGCTGGTGAACATCATCAAGTTCTGGGCCTCATAACCTTGCTGGACCCTCTCTCTCTTTTTAGAATTTTTATTTATTTATATGTGTTTATTTGAAAGGCAGAGAGAGAGAGAGAGAGAGCGAGCGAGCTCACTCTTCCATTGGCCAATTCACTTTCTAAATCCCCACAACAGCTAGGGCAGGGTAAGGCTGAAGTTATTTGGGTCTTCCATGTTGGTGGCAGGGCCCCACTACTGGAGTCGTCATCACCTGTTGCCTCCCTCTAGGGTCTGCATTAACAGGAAGCTGGAACCAGAAGCAGAGCCTGGACTTGAACCTAGGCAGTCTGATATGAGATACAGGCATACCAAGTGGCTTCCTAACCACTGTACCAAAAGCCCACCCCACAAAAGACCCTCTGTTTATTCTGTTTTCTCCTTAGCATGAGTAGATGCCCCCGGGATTCCCGGGGCTCACAGGCCCATTGCTGGCCCAGGTGCTCGCAGCAGGGATGGACTCCCCCATAGATCAAGCAAGCTTCGTTCTCATCCGAGGGATGCCCTGCTCCTGAGGGGCTGAGCGTTGTCTGGAGAAGGGGTGGTTGCCCGAACAAGCTGGGGCTGGGGAGGTGGAGACGTGGTGAATCACGAAGCTCTTCCTGACCTCCCTCCCAAATTCACTCAGTTTTGCTTCTATTAATGAGGTGGTTACCTGGGGTTTCCTATTCTGGGTTGACCTGAAGTCAAGGAAAGGAAAGAGACACTCTTCTGCATGTCCAGGGAGAGTAGGAAGCTGGGCGGGAAGACAGGCCAGGGGAGTGAGTGACACAGTCCCATTTCAGGATTTAAGAAGAGCAGTGAGGGTACAGTACCTTGAAGCAACACAATACTTGAGAATGTAAGAGCAGCACATTCAGTTCTGTGGCAGGCCAATGGGCACCCTCATCATGCAGTCCCCAGGAATTTGCAGGATCAATGGGGTTTTAAGCCCCTACTTAATTTTAATAAAAGCAGTCCCCTTTTTGACTACAGAAACACCAGTGCAAAATTCAAAATGAACTTGAGAACTTGGATGAAAAGCCTACAGACATAAAGAGAAATCTTTGCAGGCTGGGGGAGGCATTATTTAGTCTGTTGCTAACAGTAATCACCATCTCTTACTTTTTCAAATTGTCTAGCTTATGTGGAATAGCTTGAGATATTTATGGGACTGGCCTGGTAAAGATTCAATGGTGATATGTAGTACTGTGAGCTCTGGGGAAAAAAAAAAAGGAAATTGGGGCACAGAAAAAAAATAATTTTTCCTCTATTCTCTTCTCTGAAAATTTCTAAGAGAACACATGAGGGACTATTAATAGTGCTTGCTTCTGAGCAGTGGGACTTGTTGCTGGGCAGGTGGAGAAGAAAATTTTACTTCTACCGTTCTATGTAGTAGGCACTTTTGCATGTATCAGGTGTTTATCACGAGTCAAGGAGTTTATCAATTGTTTCCTCAGTTGGAAGGGAAAGTCTGGGCCTGACTTACCAGATCTTTGTTCTGCTGCGTGCAGTGCTGATGTCTTTTCTGTGAAGAATTCAGGTCTCGGTTATCCTCAGCAGCCTCACTCGGTCACAGAGCAACGTGGGTGAAGGAAGGGACCGAGAGACATTCTCAAAAGTAAGCTTTCTACAGATGCTCACCGTCCTAAATGACACCACCAAGTCGCCTTGGCTGTTCCGTTCTCATAAACAGCCCCAAGAAATGCCCGGAGATCAGATGCAGCTCATTAGGAAATGCAAGCACTGTGACTGAACACAAGTGACAGATTTTAATTCAGATTAGCTCAGTAGAGCGGAAGGTCCAACCTTGACTCTGCTGGTGTGTGCGGTGGGGGGCGGGGAGTAGGCAGGGGGTGGTGCAGTGAAGAAATGAATGTTGTAATCAAGGTTATATTGGAGTGCCTGGTTCACGTTTAGATTCTGCTTCTGACCCATGCTTCCTGCTAGTGGCACCCTGGGAGGCAGCCGATTATGGCTTAAGTACTAGGGTTCCCGTCACCCACCTGGGAGACCCAGATGGAGTTCCAGGCTCCTGGTGTTGGCCCAGCCCCGTCCCATCTCTTGCAGGCATTTGGGGAGGGAACCAGTAGATGGAAGATCTCTCTCTGTCTCTTTGTGTGTTTCTTTACCTTTCAAATAAAATGAAAAATTAAAAAACAAAACATTGTTTTAAGAGATTTCAATGAAGAGATAATTCTTCAATGGGTTAGAGCAAATGTATGTAATATTTCAAATGTACAAGCAGTATTCTGATACTATCAAAGAGTTTTTTTTTTTTTTAAAGACTCCACCTACTTGTATTTAACAAGGATTCTCTGTGGATTCGGGCTGCTGCTCACACTTCCAAAAAGTCTGTGCTAACCTATCATTTCTAACAACACTTAGGTCTTTGAAAATATTAATTCACATTAGAGTAAGAAACAACTAGACACAAGCAAAAATACTATGATGTGATAACCTCAAGCTCATGCATTTGCAATTACTGCTTACTTTTTTTTTTTTAATTTATTTTGTGTATTTGAAAGACAGAGTTACAAAGTGAGGTAGAGATAGAGAGAGAGAGGTCTTCCACCTGCTGGTTCACTCCCCACGTGGCTGCAAAGGCCAGAGCTGCGCCGATCTAACGCCAGGAGCCAGGAGCTTTCTCTGGGTCTTCCACAGGGGTGCAGGGGCCCAAGGACTTGGGCCATCTTCTGCTGGTTTCCCAGGCCATAGCAGAGAGCTGGATTGGAAGAGCAGCAGCTGGGACTAGAACTGGTGCCCATAAGGGATGCTGGTGCTTCCGGCCAGGGCTTTAGCCTGCTGTGCCACAGCACTGGCCCCATACTGCTTGATGCTAGTATTTTGACAGAAGTTCATAAAACAAATTGCCTTACCCACTTTCTCCTGACTGTTGGCACTGAAATCTGTATTATAGATGGGACTAAGGCCAGTACAGAATTTCACAGAAAACTGGGTATATATTTGCCAACCAGGAAGCTTTTGTCACCCAAGGGCCTTTTAAAGGTGCAGAGATAAAAGTCTGGGTTTACTTCTCTCCCTCTCCTATTGTCCTTGCCTCCCTTTTCCTCTCCTCTCTCCTCCTTTCTTCTATTCCTCCATCCTACCATATATTCTCTTTTCCTTTCTTTACTTCCTAAAAAGAATGAATGGTAGGTGTGTTTGGGGGGTGTATACTGAATTCTCTTCAGATATTTGTTACCAAAGGTTTTTCACTTAGAGTTTGAACTTAAACATCTGTTCTGCACTTACAAACTTCTACTTGAAGCATATGTAGAGAGTCCGGCATAGTGGTGTAATAGGTTAAGCTGCTGCCTGCAGTGCCAGCATCCCACATGGGCTCTGGTTTGAGTCCCAGCTGCTCCACTTCGGATCCAGCTCCTTACTAATGCACCTGGGAAAACAGTGGAAGATGGCCTAAGTACTTGGGCCTCTACATCCACATGGCAGACCAGGATAAAGTTCCTGGCTTCTGGCTTCAGCCTGGCCCAGGCCTGGCCATTGGCCATTGCAGCCATTTGGAGAGTAAACCAGTGGATACAGGTTCTCTCTCTCTCTCCTCTCTCCTCCTCTGTCTCTCTCTCTCTCTGTAACTCTGACTTCCAAATAAATAAGTGCATCTTTTTTTTTTTTTTTTTACAGGCAGAGTGGACAGTGAGAGAGAGAGAGACAGAGAGAAAGGTCTTCCTTTATCATTGGTTCACCCTCCAATGGCCGCTGTGGTCGGCGTGCTGTGGCCAGCACACCGTGCTGATCCGAAGCCAGGAGCCAGGTGCTTCTCCTGATCTCCCATGAGGGTGCAGGGCCCAAGCACTTGGGCCATCCTCCACTGCACTCCCTGGCCACAGCAGACAGCTGGCCTGGAAGAGGGGCAACCGGAACAGAATCTGGCACCCTGACTGGGACTTGAACCTGGGGTGCCTACTGAGCCGCGGCGCCAGCCTAAATACATCTTTTTTTAAAAGGATATATAGAAACAAAAATATAATCTTCTGATTAACAATAGGGCTCTAACGATTAGGGAAAATATGATGGTTCCTCTTTTCTTACGCATTTAATGGTTCCTTTCCCTTAATTCCCTAGAACATCATTTGATGGGAAGCCTTATTAAAGTCAACACAGCCTAAATCTTGAAATCAGCAGAAAAGCTGATTTCTCTCCTTATTTTATTGTTAATACTTATTTTGGGACTAAGTAGAATTAGGAGGAGTTTCATTTGAAATAGTTAATTTCCAAACAGGGTGTGCTCTTCGGAGCCATGAAGTTCTCAAGAGGCCTTTTTTGTTTGGAGCTGAATGAATAGTTCTGCAGCGAGACAAAAAAAAAAAAAAAAGAGAGAGAGCGAGAGAGAGAGAAAAGAAAAGATTTAAATGAGGGTTCTTGACCTCTGTACCACTGACATTTCAGACTGGATAAGTCTTTGCTGGGGGTCAAGAGGTCATCCTGCAATGTAGGCTCTACAGCAGCAACCCTGGCCGCGACTCCCTAGCGCCTCCTTTCTCCAAGCTGTGACATACAGAAATGACCCCGACATTGCCAAGCATCCCCGGAGTGGCCAAAACTGCCCCCGCCTGCTTGAGAACCCCTACCCTAGATGCAGCAGCGTCTCTCTCAGAGTAAGTTCAGAAACCTGCAGAAGTTGACAACTCTAGCAGAGTAAAATCTTGCAGGGCTCGAATTTCTCCCTTGCTCGTGTGCCTAAGATGGCCTTGTCACGCTCTCTCTGGGGAGGCATGGGGCTGCTCCAGTTCTGGACACAGGTGATCCAATAGATCTCTTCCCGTCTCAGGGTTCTGGCTAGTGACAGCATAATCAATGCGCTGACTCTGAAAACATGCTGAGAAAACAATGGGAACAGGGTCAAATTCCCCTAAGAAAGATGATTTTTTTTTCCCGTTAGTAGCCTGAAGCAGATATAACGCTGCACTGTACATTTGTCATAAGGTAGAAGACTCCAGTGATTCAAGGCAGAGTAAAAAATCAGTCTTTTTATTGTGTCCAAGTCCAGTATGCTATCAGATGTAGCTGCAGCTAAGTCATCGCCACAAAGGAGTCTTGAAATATGCTACCAGGTGGCTTAAAAATCACAGCCATTTAAATCTACATATTCAACTTGGCAGTAAACTCCTTGCATATCTCCTATTTGGGAAAGATAGCACCCTATGATTCCTAGATTTAACTGAATTATGCAATGTAGACACTGAGACTCGGGTACAAAAAGGTTCCTCCCCCCTCCCCGCCCCTTTCCTCTCTCTTTCCTTCTTTTTTCCTTTTCTTTTCTCTGACAGTGTTCACACACATAAGAAAAGGTGAATCAACACATCTGGATTGTGAAATAAAGCGTTAGCTGTGGTTGGACCAGCAGAAGTAGCGCATCCTGGGAATGTTCAGTTAAACATCTGAAATGAAGCAGGTGCCTTAGAAGAATGGCTTTTGCTAGCTTCTCTGTAGCTTGAAGGACTTTCCAGGTTGCCAATCAAGGACAGAGCTCGAGCTGTCAAAGTTAAAGAGTAGTTCACGGACTGCTTCATGGTGGTGATGCTGGCCCACCGGCTACAGGGCCACATGGCTTTCTGTGTATGAAAACATCTGTGCCAGGAGAGCTGAGTGGGGTCAGATCCATGACTGGGCAATTTATCAGAAGTTCTCTTTATTGAAAGAAACTCTTTGTAACGTTTTTTAAACTTCATTACCAGAAGCTGGTGTGCAAAGTTGAAGACCAAGAATAACCTGACTTTCAAGCATCCTATGCTACAAAGAGACTCAATTCTCCATTTTGTGTCCAGCCCTTCTATTTCTGCACTACCAGCCTTAGCTCAGGCGATTTCCTCTGCAGTGATGTTCTTTCCTCCCAGGACCACGTGCCCCCCAAATGCTGCCCTTTGTAACTGCCATCAAGTCTCCTGTTCCCTATCCTTCTAGACAGGGAACCGTGCCTTCCCACAAACTGCCTTAGAACATAATCTCACCGCTCGTGTGACACTCCACTTTCTGTCTTGTTTCAGGATCGTTCATGTTTCCCTTCCTGCTGTACAGAAAACCCTTTGCAGGAAAAGATCCTCATCTGGTTCCTTGCTCCATGCCCCACATTGCATGACTTAGGACTTTGAACACTGAGTTCAGCTGATAACATGTTAAATAAATGACCCATTAGGTATCATGTCTGTTCTGATATTTGTTCTCCCCTGAGTGTGTCATCTGGAGCAGGAGATAATGCAGCTAAGCTGCTCTTCAACCCCAGCAATAGTTCTAGGTGAAGAAAGGCAGGGGCCAGTTACAGATCAACTCCCTGGACTGATGTCGCAATCTTTCCCTTTGCAAACGCGTGTCAGCATGTCTGCTCACGTATCTTTCTACATATCTTCAGTGATCAAACTCCCAGGAAAACACTGGCTGCTTACAGAATGGGGGCAAGGTACCAAGGGCGCAGCCATTCTTTTGTTTTTTCCCCTCTACTGTATTAACCTACTCTTTTACATTTAGAAACATAAAAAGGATTTCATCAGCTGGTCCAACCCCTTTGTAGGGATCACTGCCAAAGAGATGTTGAAACGACGCTACACCTGACCTTTCTGAAAAAGACAAGAAAGAATGCACCAGAAATGAACTCTTGCAAATGAGGATGGTTAACATTTAGAGCTCCTTAAACCCTATTGGCTCATTACTTTATAGGAGTATGAAGCCACATTTTGATGAAAGGAACCATTTGAGCTGAATATTTTCTCTCACACACAGAGAATTAGAATTTGTGAACCTGGCCTGGCTCTGGATCTCTTTGCCTTCCTCCTTTGGAAGAACTGAATGCTGGCAAAACAGCTTCATGTTTCCTGCTAGCTTGTGGTCACTGCATCTTTTGCAGTATTTGATATTCACACAGATTTGCTGTCAAGACATTATGTCTTTCACTGGATCTCAGAGGGTATTGGGCAAAAGGCAATGGTGATTTATTGGACAGCACATAGAAATAACCTGGATTTGCATCCTTGCTGTCACTACTGGCAGTTTGGTTTAGGAAAAGCTAATTAACCTATCTGCTTCTCAGTCTCCTATTTGGAAAATGGAGACAATAATAATTCATATCTCCTCAAACTGATGTTAGATTTTTAAATGATTTATTTAATTTATTTGAAAGGCAGAGTTACAGAGAGAGGTAGGGACAGAGAGAGGTCTTCTATCTGCTGGTTCACTCCTCAGCTGGCCACAATGGTCGGAGCTGAGCAGATCTGAAGCCAGGAGACAGGAGCTTCTTCCAAGTCTCTCACATGAGTGCAGGAGCTCAAGGACTTGGGCCATCTTCTGCTGCTTTCCCAGGTGCATTAGCAGGGAGCTGCACTGGAAGTGGAGCAGCTGAGACTCAAAATATGGGATGCTGGCCCTGCAGGCCAGGGCTTTAACCTGCTGTGTCACAGCATTGGCCCATGTTGTTAGGTTTTAATGAGATAATGCATGTGAAAATGTGCTGAAAAGTATACAGCATCATATCAATACCCACTCTTCTTATTGTATCACCATGCTCAGATACCACAATAGCAATTTGTTCCAAATCAATATGTAGGGGCTGGCATTGTGACACAGCCATCACTTGCAATGCTAGCATCCCGTATCAGAGAGCTGGCTGGATTCCTGGCTGCTCTGCTTCTGATCTAGCTTCCTGCTAATGCACCCGGGAAGGCGGTGGATGATGACCTAGACACTTAGGCCCCTGCTGCCCATGTAGGAGAAATGGATGGGGTCCCAGGCTTCTGGCTTCATCCTGGCCCATCTCTGGCCACTGAAGCTGTTTGGGGAGTGAACCAGTGAATGAAAGAACTGTTTTTCCCCACTCCCATCTGCCTTTCAAATAAATAAATAAAAATAAAAAAAAGGGGGCAGGGGCAGGGTGGGCATTGTGGCAATTGTGGCACAGCAGCTTGAAGATGCTGCCTTGGATGCCTGCATCCCATATTAGAGTGTCTGGGGTCCAGTCCTGCCTCTGCCTGTGACCCAGCTTCTTGGTAATGAGCTCCCTGGGAAGCAGCAGGTGGTGGCTCAAGTATTGCAGCTCAAACCGGAGAAACAGACGGAGTTCCTGGCTCCTGGCTTTGGCCTGGTCTAGTCCCAGCTGTTGTGGGCATTTGGGGAGTGAACCCATGGACAAGTCTTTTCTCTCTCTGTTGGTCTGCCTTTCAAATAAAAGAAAATAAATTTAAAAAATTTGAAAAAAATAAGTGTGGGTTTAGTGGGAGGTACTTGGTTCTTGTGAAACCACTTGGTAGTTCCTGCAAGAGGTTGTATAAAAGAAAAAAAAAACTCTTTTCCCCCACCACCCTCTCCCTTTCCTTCCTAGCTTGGCAGATGACTGCATTGTCCAATGGGGTTCCGGCCCATGCCATCTGCCATTTGCCATGAGGTGATGCAGCCAAGGGGCCCTCATGAGTCTGTGCCTTACTCTTTGGACCTCCAGGCCCCCAAACTGTGAGCTAAATCTCTTTCTCTCTCTCTCTCTTTTTTTTTTTTTTTTTGACAGGCAGAGTGGACAGTGAGAGAGAGACAGAGAGAAAGGTCTTCCTTTACCGTTGGTTCACCCTCCAATGGTTGCTGTGGTCAGCGCACCGTGCTGATCCGATGGCAGGAGCCAGGTGCTTCTCCTGGTCTCCCATGCGGGTGCAGGGCCCAAAGACTTGGGCCATCCTCCACTGCACTCCCTGGCCACAGCAGAGAGCTGGCCTGGAAGAAGGGCAACCAGGACAGAATCCGGCGCCCTGATCGGGACTAGAACCCGGTGTGCCAGTGCCGCAGGCAGAGGATTAGCCTATTGAGCCGCGGCGCCGGCCTCTCTCCCTCTCTTTATAAAATAGCTTGCCTCCAGCATTTTGCTATAGTAAAAATAACTGAATACACCTATTTTTCAAGACAAAATGAGATAACCTGGGCAAACCATTGAGCCCACTGTCTATTTCCAGTTGCTCAGAAAATGCTACTTTTCCAAGGAATAAGACAAGTGCTAATGCAGAGTTACCAGAATTCAAGTTAATGAGAAAAAACCATTATATCTGACTGGAAAGGCTACACAGAAGATTTAGAATCTGACTGGAGGCTTGATGGATAAATTTATTTCTGCACCTGAAGAAATAACCTGTAAGTACTACACACTGTTCAAGGCACTTTGTCTATGTTATCTCATTTAATACCAAACACAGTTAGTGCAACATACCCATTTTGCAAATGTGAAGATTGAGGCACAGAGAGCTGAACTGACTAATGCAAAGTCCTGCACATGGTTCAGAACACAGCCAGGGCCAGGCCCTAGGAGTCTGTTTCCTGAGCGTCAGCTCATAACCATCACTTAGAACAAGGCAGGTGGCTGGGGGCTAAGAAGAATGGGGCAGAGGGCAAACAGAGGCATTATAGAAGCAGATTAGAGCAATGACAAACCTGGGAGCTTCCCCTTAGTATCTTCCTCTCCCAAGATGAAGCAGTATCAAAAGCAGAAAAAAAGAGACACAGTCAGAAAGAAGCCCTTTGTGATGGGAAACCGTGAAGGATGAAAAGGCCAGAGAGACCGAGTTGCAGGCTATAGGGAGATCAGAGTATGTGGCCTGCCACTGAGCCCCGGTTAATGCCTGTTGACTGCACAGGCAGGAAGAAGGAGGGTGCTTGACTTTGCAAATCCAGGTCAGATTTTGACACGTGGCCCGGTTTTTCTTGGGAGGATATCTTGTCCAAGACACCAAGGTCATCCCTTTCTCTGTCCACAAAGTGCTGCCGACCTTTGGCCCTTTCTAGAACAGCTCTCATTTGGTGTCACCTCTCATCAGGTCTCAGCAATTACTGTGCACTTCTTCTAAAAGGTTAGAC